GATGCTATTCTCGCATTCAGGTGCATGACGGACCGTGCCCCGACCTATCTGATGTCACAGTTCGCCACAAGAAGGCAGATATCTGACCGAATAACAAGAAACTCTCAACAACTTAATAGCCCTTTATTTAAAACCGCTGCTGGTCAGAGATCGTTTCACTACAGGATGGTAAAATTATGGAACTCGTTAGACAGTGATTTGAAACTGTGTAAAGACCTCATTAGCTTTAAAAAAACTTTAAAATCAAGGGTGTTGAATAAGTTTCTTACCACAAAATACGTTCAACATATAGTTTTATATTTTTTACTATACATGTATATCCTTTATTCTCATTGTATTGTACTGTTCTCTAAAAAATCCTTTTAGGGAGTGTTCAATAAACTTAATACCACTATTACTAACCGCGTAAAAGAGACAAACTCGTGACATCATCAGCTACCAGCTGCCACGATATGCCCAGCTTACTTTTGGTCCTATCAACCATATCCATACTTGAAATCCTCCAGTTTCGGCTCAAATCTTTGAAATTGAGAGCGTTCATAACTGCGCACTCGGAAAATGTCAAGTGAATCTAAGCGAAAGAAGCATATGCTTCTGTAAGTGTTAAATGTAAACCATTAAGCATCTCGCCGAAAGACACCGCAGAGGGCGTTTCTCCACTTTTACAGTGGAATTGTTCGGCTATAAACTGGCAGAGCCGGGATTTTCCAATTTGAAGCTTTCTCACTATGTATTAGTGCTTTGAGNCCCAACCAACCATCTCACATGTACGGATTTCTGTGCCCCTTACGTGAGGTGGCTTACACCTCTGCTTTATTTTGTGTATCAGCAAGCTCGTGTTTATGCCGCGAAAATGATTGACACATGGAGTATGATAAGAGCCATGTGGATTCTATGCATTTGCGCGGTTTTTGCAAAATGGAATTATTAGGTTTATCTATTGTTCTAAAAACAAATCTTTTCAACCACCAAAACGCAACACCATCAACTACAAAAGTGCCATTACATAACTCCTTTAATAGTCAGTCTACATAGTTGAAGATTGTTGTAGGCTTCTTCGCCTTTAATCATAAAATTACAATACCTAAAGCACGCCAAAAGCTACTATTGTTCATGATTTATATGATTTAGACTATGAAAAAAAATTCAGTTCTAAAGCATTCCTTGGATATTAAAAACTAAAAATTAAACTTACTACGTCCTTACAGACGACTTTTTAAGCAATCACAACTGATGTCTCCACGTTGTGCAAAAATCCTGACAGCGAGTTAGATTCTGATCCTATGTTACATAAACAGAGCTGAATAACATCTACGCATGTCATATAAGCATCTATAAATCCATAGCAACAATATATATTAATTGATATGGCGCACTTTTTAAATATTTGAAAGCTTTAATATCCTTGATCCATTAATACTACTTTTTTAGGGAAAAAAATATAAAAAAAAAACTGTCACTCAGGCCTGCCCAGCTCACGTGTCGATATAAATGTAGCCAAACTTACTCAAAATGCATTTTGACGATCGATAGAGAATGGTTAATTTCAGCAAGGATGAAACTATGGTGTGCAAAAGATATTTCGTGTCCCTTTTGAGAGACATCTGAGGCGAAAGTTTGAAGCTTAATTTCTCTACTAGTATCGTAATCTAGGGGGAAAACCGCACCGCGGTTCAATGTTTTTAAAATAATCTGCCATTTTAGTCTAGTGTTGCTACGGTTTAAAGAGTGAGCCCGCAAAAGTCCTTGAGATTTGAATGTGGTAACTGACCGCACTCTGATTGGCTCTTTAATATGCAATGTTAATTGATGGAAGTCTGGCTTACAGAAAAATTGTCTGTTGTTTCTTAACTTTTCTACATTACAATTACAGAAAAATTGTCTGTTGTTTCTTACATTTTCTACATTACAATGCAACACAATTTGGTGTTGCTTGACTTAACCTCTATAAGTATATGGTAGACTGAAGCCTTGATATCTTTGTTTGAACTCTCAGATCCGATTCGACCTTCACCGAACCACGAGTAACGAGCCTGACGCCCTAAGAAATTACGAATTTATGATTATTGAACTTTTTGTGTTACTAATGTTCAGTTCTGCTGTATGTAGCTGAGCAAGTGCAATCTGAACAAAGTTCACCACGTCACCTTCCAGGCTAAGGTTTATACTTTCAGAATGTTGTCCAGGCAAGTTAAAAATTACAAGAATATTTTCTTTTTACAAAAAGGTCCAAGGCTATTTGTTCTCTCTCTTTCCTGCTGCAGCCGAGCAAGCACATCCTGAACGAATCTCACTAGGTCATCCTACAGGCCAAAGTTCTTGACATAAATCACCAATGCATGATCATAACAGTCTATTGCTTCTTGAATGAGGCCAAGATAATTATGTACAGCACCCAGGTTTTTGTAAGTATCTGCAACATTGACGTGCTCCGAATCGACCATTTTAAGAAAAACATCCAGCGCTCACTCGTGACAGTCTTTTCCCTGCTTTAGGTCACCCAGCTGCGAGTGGACAAGGCCCAGGTTATTGCAAGACATTGCAACAGAAACATGCTCAGGTCCGAGCTTTTTCAGCTTAACATCCAGCGCTCGCTCGTGAAAGTCTTTTGCCTGCTTTAGGTCACCCAGCTGCGAGTGGACAAGGCCCAGGTTATTGTAAGACATTGCGACATCAACATGCTCAGGTCCGAGCTTTTTCAGC